GTTTCGGTGTGGATCTTTGGGTCACTGATGGTTTGACTCTTTGCAGTGGCTGGAAGAGGAGCAAGCAGGGTGCTGTGGAGCATGGTATTCCTTTGTGTGAAATTATTCTCTGTAATAAATGTGTTCCGTTCCTGAAGATCAAGAAATTCAAAGCAGAACTTTGCATTCCTACAGTGGTCAGCTATGGATTCAGCCCTGAGGACTTGGCCTGGGGCAGGGCTGGAGAGGCAGAGGACACTGGTGCTCTGGTCCTGCCATGGGGGTAGCAGGAGGCAGCTCAGACCAGGCAGTTTTGCTGCTTCTTCCTTTGTCACCAGCACACATAGGGAAATGCCAAACCTGCCTGTGGGTGAAGAGGAATGTGCCCCTTTGATGTGTTCATCTCATTTCCAGGAGCTGCCTTTGATTTAGGTAGGACTGTACCCTACAGCACTGGGCTCTCCTCAGCAAAAGCTCTTGTATAAAAATGGCACTCTTAACATACCTGAAAATGTTAGCACGAGGAATACAAAAATATTGCACCTCTTCTTGCTTAAAAAAACCCTGGATATTTTCAGATGAGACCTATGCATCCAAGTTCCAAAGAAATATTGGGTTCAAAAGTCAAAGGAAGTGGATGTGTTGTCTACAGGTGGCATTTGCTCTGTCTCCTGAGGGGTGGAGTGATTGTGTTTCTTCAATTAGCTCATGTATCTGCAATTTGGAAGAAAAATTGTTTTGAATTATTCTGGCAGTGGAATCTGATGTCATGTGGAAGCACCTTGGGGAGATGCAGCGCTCTCCTGTGCTGGGTTACAGGCAGGGCTGGTCTGCCCTCAAGCTGCAAACAGGTAATACACCTTATTACCAGCAAAAAAGGAAATTGCCAAGTAACTATGGTTATGTTTCCCACTGTGCTCTTATATAGGATTTATTCAAAAGCAGAGACTTTTTTTTCCCCAGGATTTTTAGCAGAGATACCAGATGTGTCACATCCAGTCTTTCTTACCATTTCACGACATCTCTAGGCTTTTACAGTGCTGGGCATTGAAATTCTCCCCTGAAATTCAAACGTTTTAAAAGAATAAACAGAGCCCAGAGCTGTAGATTGCCTGACTGCAGATTACTGACTTTTCTGTCTCTAAAAGTTAATTGCATTGGAAATGTCATCTTCCTTTGAACATCAAAGCCTGTAGCATCCATGGGATTTATTTTGCAATACAGACAAGTTTTGAACCTGTTTCTTGGTGTTAGGAAAGGTTTTGTGGCTTTGGTCCCACCAAGCAGCTGGACAGTGCTGGTACCCTTGCCCCTGTGCTCGCCCTCCTGAGCATTGCCCTGCGTGAGAAGGTGACTTTGCATCAGCAGGACTTAGCTGAGGTGTGTTGAAGCAGTGCAATGTGGACTTACTCCTGTGTCAGGCTGGACCAGAGCTGCCTGTGCCATGTTAGCCCAATGCCTTGTCTGTGGTCCATCCTCTCTGTGTAGCCCAGCCATCTCTCCACACTCTGCTCTTAGCCAGGAGAACCAGGGAGACCTTTGAGCCATGTGCTACTCCCTCAAAGCAGTTTGTGAAGCCCTTCCCAGCAGTGTGTGTGCTTGTGCCTGTTTGTCGACAGAGGGGCCAACCCTTGTTCGGGGAGTTTAAACAAGATAACTGGAGGGAAAAGAGAGCCTGCCATCCCTCCAGATAGCAGTGTCTCAGAGAGCACCGGCAAAGTATGATTTGTCGTCTGTGAAAAATGTTTGCGTTTGACAGCTTTTCACAGGAAGCCTGTCAGAGTGATAATTTAATGAGTACAGATTGCTTGCAACACAGCTGTAAAACGTGCTTTTACAGTGCTGTAAAATAAGCAGCCGAGGCCTTTGTGTGTTTGCTTTGTTTGAGAACAAGTCAACTTCTAATACAAATGAAAGGTGGTCATTTATTTTACCCAGCAAACAGTCAAGACGTAAGAGAGGAACCTGCCATTTTTCTTCTTACAGTGGCAAGGTTAATGCTGGGTTACTTTGGTGTTTGCTAATCAGCTCATTTCCGTGAAGGGGAGAATTAATGTCTAATTAGATGTAGGGAGTTACTAGTCAGATTAGCATTGAACTCATAAAAAGGACTTTTGGGCTTTCTTCTCTTCATTGCAGACATCTATGCCCATAGTTTGCTCTGAAGAAAGATTAATGTTCCTTCCTGCTCCCAAGCTGATTTCTCGATCTGGAGATAGAAACTGAAGATGCAGACTTAGACCATGTCAAGAGCTAGACTAAAATGTATCTTTCTGTGTAATTTAGTTGCTGCTGTTGACCAAGTTGAGTGCTGTGCATTGTGTGGAGGAAGATGCCATACGTGTCCTACTGCTTGTTGGCATTGGCCCGTTGATCCCGGTGCTGTGCTTGGCATCCCTTCTCCACACCATCCCAACCACATCTCCCTTCCAGGAGCCTCAAGGTGCCAGCAGTGGCACCCAGAGGCCAAGACACTGGCACTGGTCACCAGGGCATCCTGTCTGGCATGGTTCAGGGATGCAGGCACATGCTGGCAGGGAAGCTCTGCAGGGTGGGAGGATGGATGCTCACTCCATGCTGCAGACACACAACCTCCTCTGCCCTTCTTATTTGGGAAGTGGCACTTGAATGGGTGTTTTCTGTCCATGAAAATGATATCTGGAGCTCAAGTCAGAGACAAAGGCTTTGTGCATGAATGCTGCTTCCTTCAGCAATGTGGTACTGGGCTTTTTGAAGTGCCTGGTTTTGGTGGGAAGTTTTTATTTCCTTTATTTACCTTCCTTTTGGGCAAGGAAAAGCTGCTGGCTGGAAGACTGCAGGTGCACAGGTATTTGCTGCTAATGAGATGCAGGGTTTTTTTCAGGATAATTAATGAACATACCTGGTTTTAGCCCACATGAAAAATTGCTAAGAGATGAAGAACTCTAAAGCCTGGATAGAGTTTATTCAACTTTCACTTTGGAGTATAACCAATAAAATGAGTTTGGGCAGGAGAATAAATTGGTTATGGTAATATGGATGTATTACTTAAGATAATGTTACTGGCTTAAAACATTGGTTTGGGTTCTTTAGACTGGTGGTTGCTACTATCTAATAGATTTGCCATCAATATAATTTCAAAATCTAGTTCTTTTTGAGGAGTTTGCTGATATATCTGGCAGCTCTTATGCCTGGCACAAAAGTATTTAAATAAACAACTTATTTGGTGATGCTAAAAGGTCTGAGCAAAGGAAGGAAGTGAGCCTTCAAAATGATTAAGTGAATTAGAAATTAATATACACCATGCTAATCTCTATAGTATAAACTCAACAGAAAAAAATCTTCCTGGAGAGGAAATGCCAGTCATGGGAATGAAAGTGGAGGTTCCTGCT